ATAATGCAGAGACTGGTGGGAGAGCATCGGGCGCCTGCCTGGATGAGGACTAGTGCAGAGCTGAGTGGACACTGCTCCGCAGGCTTCACCAGGAAGGCGTATTTGGAAATACACTGGAATATATTTGCAAGTGTGTGGAAAAAGTGCCTAGCACCCAGCTCAGTAAATATTTGAACAGGATGGGGCAGCATTGCTTCTAAACATTTGCAAAGAATTAATGAAAGGCTGGACGTCAGGTAGGCAAACAGTTCTGACCTAAGACCTTACAGATTCCCTGGTCTTTACCTGGTATCGTTTTTCCTCTCATGTAGATATGTGAGAAATGGCACCATGACCCACTGGTATTCAGGAAATGGACTTGTGCGTTGGGAAACACTAGAAAATCACCAGCTCCTGAGAGTAACCTACTTCAAATATCAAGTACTAGTTTCCACATCCCTGGATTGATTTCAAAAACATAGTCACTCAGAATAGTTTTAAAAAGTCACTCAGTCTAGTTAAAATGTCTTTCTGGGGTCAGCTAGGTGGCATAGTGGTTAAGGTGGCTGGATCTTACATCGCCGACTGTGCAGTCCGAGTGCTGGACTCTGCAGCTTGAAAAACAGGCCAGATGTATAAGCATGCTTGACCAAAATCCAGAGAGGAGAAAGGAGGAAAAGGGACTGCAGTGTGGCCAACCCCTGTGGGGTGACTTCTCACTGTCTGTCTCTCGGTGGCAAGCACACACCCCCTATGGCAAAAACCTAACATAATAATAATAATAATAATAAATGTGTGTGTGTGTGTGTGTGTGTGTAAATGTCATTCTGATTAGGACCAGGACCAAAGGAACAAGGGTCACTTCCTTCAAAATGACCCCAAAGGCTATTGAGAGGGCTTTGGTTCTAGGGCTTGAAAGGCCGATGCTCTGCTATCCCAGGCCTCTCCAGGCAGAAGCAGCTGAGATGGGAGCACTGCTAGGTCCAGGCTCTGTGGAGTGTGGGGGGTCCTACATGGGCATTTGGGTCCTGATGGGGAGGTGAGGTCCTGCTTAGGGAGTTAAGTCCTGGCTGGGAGTGGGGGCCTCTTCCTGAGGTTCCTTGTAAAGAGGCAAATATGGAGGAAAATTCGCAAATGTGCCATAATAATTATTATAGCCATCATCTATTTCCATTGTTCTCCCATTGAAAACCAATGAAAATGATCTCACCCTTAGCTCCAAAAGGAGGGAAGTGGGAGGGAGGAG